TATCAAGAGATTTCTCAAGAGTAACAAATCCAGCCTTAGTGAACTGTACCCCTCATTACCACCTATTGCCATGGTCCACAATGAATGAGAGCAGGAGCTAGCAGCAATCAAATTTGTTATGTGTGTGGCAACCAGAGAGGAAGGGAAGCAGGGCTTCCCCCTGCCCCCTTGCCTGTGGTGCTTCCACACTGAGCTTGGCTGGGCTCCATACAGTCTTAGAGTCGTGCCTGAAGACATGGGTAAGGCTCATGTTCAGGCTTCTAATAACCCTCTTTCATACACCTTTAATCCAGGGCTTCTCACACAGAGTTCCTGTGGGGCTCTAGTGTTTCCTAAGCTGGAGAGAGGGAGCATTCAACAGTAATATTGAATAATGATTGCCTTTACCCTGTTTGCAGAGGGGGAAAAAGTTGGTGGATAGTATTTTTTCAATTCAAACTGTTCTGCAATCATTTTTTACAAGTCTTTGGCTCCAGTCACAACTTTTCTGCTAAAGGTTGCCAGTAGATGACAGGAAAAAAATGAAATGGTAAATTCATATCTATAGGAAAACTGAAAACCAACCATTTGTTCCTGGTTCAACAGTTTGTTGGGTGTTTTATTTTGTTTTAAGACGAATGAGCTGTTGGTTGTGAGTTGATATGGTGTACAAATAAGAAAATGTGGATTTCTTTTTGCTAATAAAAATATATCAAAATAGTATGTAGGTGAAATACAAAATATATTGATTTGTATTTTTAAAAATATTCTACAAAAATATGGTGTGTTGCAAATAAGGTCACATATCCTGGATCTCTGCCCCCTGAACAAGTCTGAGATGCCCTGTCTTAGAATAATACGCATTATATTCCTCTAAAGAACATGGATAGATAAGATTGATAGGTAAAGACTAAGTCTAAAATACATTTACCCTATGTGTAAAATAACTATGCAATTATTTATGAACCATTGCTAAAATTGATATGAGCGTCTGATGATTCAAACCATTGTTTGACACTTGGTATTGCATATGTAGATCTAAGATCTCAGCATTGTGCTGTAATAGAATTTTTGATTGGGAAGTCCAGTGAAGGTATTTGGACAAACTATCTGAAACTCGAACCTCCCAATAAATGGTCTTTTATTCTCTCTGTGAACACCTCCAGTAGGACCTTAATGTGTGTTCGAGGCTGTGTTAGTTACATGTGGATCTGTGTGAAGAAAATGAATGAGCCCAGTACATTTTTAGATTAGCAATATACTCTACCATAGGAATTTATACTGTATTTATGTGGGTGCAAATATGAAGCTGTATTCCTATATATACAAACCTTTTGAATCTTAGATAGTGGAACATGTCATGTTTTAAATCGTAATCCTCAACTGCATATTACTCAATTTGGAAACTACCACCCATGGCCTGAGAGGGAAGGAAAATTCTCTTTATATATACAGCCTTCATTCACACAAGACATTTTATTTATATTACTGATTTAATAAAATCCCCTAGTGAGCAAATGTTCTCCATATGTGGAGACAGAGGACTAGAAAGCATAAAGCCAGTTCTTTGTGTTTTTCAGCTTTTAAAAAATTATGTACATGCAGTGTTTTGCCTGTTGTTTTAAAATTGCTGAATATGGTATTTTGTCACTTTAATTATTTTCTTAATCAAGGTAAAATATCACAGTATAAAACTCAATTTTTAGAATCCTATTTGACCCTATATCTATTCTTATGGGGCTCAATTTTTTAAGCAACATTCTGGTGTTTTCCCAACAGTGGGAAGGCCAAACAGAACACTGACACTGGCCCAGAAGCTGGGAGAGAGAGTGATTTGAGACCATAGTAGAGAGAAAGATCAGGACAAAGCTGGTTCAGGAGTAGATAAGCAGTTAGGCAGTTACCATGGAAGGAGTCAGGAAGATATTGGACAGGATTATAGCAGAGGAACAGAGAGTGCAGTGAAGGGAGTCTTCTAACAAAGAGACGGGAGACCAAGTAATGGCTGTGCCATATAACTTTGGAAACAGGTACTTATCCCTCTGAACTTCCGTTTCCTCATTTTGGAAAATGGGGAAATTCCCATGCTCCAGAGCTGTGTTGAAAGAACCTATGTAAAGACCCCATAGCTAGTGTTTCTGCCCTTTCATTTCAGCTCTTGCTTGACCCTTCATTCCTGAGCTAGAGGCAGCCGTGATGCCGGAGCTCTCAGTGTTGGAAGTCCACACATCCCAAACCGGCCCTCCCCCTCCTAGCCTTTTTACTGTGGAAAATTTCAAACATCTACAGAAAAACTAGGCATAATGTATAAGGAACCTCCATGTACATTACCCAGCTTCAAAAATATAAGTCACAGCCCATCTTTTTCATCTATCCACGCACTACCCTCTGTATTATTCTGAAGCAAATCCAGATGTCATATCATTTTATCTATACATGTTTCACTATATATCTATAAACAATTAGGATTCTCTTTAAAAAAAAAAAAAAAAGGTGATGCCCAGACAAATGTGTGGTGTTAGCCAGAGGGAAAGGAGGGTAGGGGATAGGTGGAAGGGGCCAAGGGAGAGATGGGGATGAATAGTTTTGTGAGCCAATGTCACACCAATCAATTCAATTAAAATAAATAAATAAAATGGTTAAAATTTAAAAATGTGATGCCATAATACACTTAAAATATTTAAGTTATTCCTTAATATTATTAAATACCCAGTATGCTTCCGTTTCCAATGTCTTAGAAATTTTTCAGTTTACTTGAATTAGAATATAAATTATATCCACAAATTACAAAGTTTGTCTCTTAAACCTCTCAGCTAACATGCTCTTCTGTTTTCTGCATTATATGTAAGTTAGAGGATCCATCAGATTCAGGTTGATTTTGTTGTTGTTGTTGTTACTACTGTTTTTACCTGGGTCTTATGTTACATCAACCACATAAATACACCAAGCAGTATTGCCATTGATGATGTAATTTTTCCAAACTGATAACAACTCTTGAAACAGGACTGAACAAGCCAATATATAATCTTCCTTCAATGTAAACTGTAAAAAGTTACTTTCTGGAAGACTGGTATATAAAAGGTATGCAAAAATATTTTGTATTTATAGGTAATAGGGAGTTAGGATTTATGCTCAGAAAATTATAAGCTATTTTTCGTCTTCATGAATCTTGGGCAAATCATGTGATACATGGAAAAATCCTTTGCCAAGTGAGATTATCTGCCACATTGCAGAAATCTAGAAATCCTTCCACTAAATGCCAGTAGCACCCCACCAAACCTTTATGACTATTATTAATGCCTCCTTATATTGACAAAATGCCCCCTATGGTTCACTTTACCCCTGTTGAAAACCACTGGCTTAATTCAGGAAACAGGAAAAGAGGAAATTGGTTTTCATTACATATAGGCTACAATTTGGGGGAAGGAAATAAGGAAAATATCCTGTATGGGAAGAACTATTGAAACATTCACAGAGCTAAAGCTTTCCAAAGTTTTGCTCAGTTGACAGAATTTTGTTTCTCCAAACTTTGTTGGAAAAGGTGAATAGGCTCTCTGATAAAACACATGTGGTCATAATGACTTCATGCTAATATATGTAGTTCAAGTACAGAAACTTTTACAGCTAGGAAACCAGATAGGTAACATTAGGGAAACTGGGATAATGGCAATAAGTAATAAATCCATTTTCAATTATTTTCTAATTATGAGTATAAATTTATAAATCTCTTACTTTATTTTATTTTTGCTTTTCTTTCTTTATATTTATTTATCTTTTAAATTACAGCTTACTATAAATCTCTTTATGCTCTATGTACATAATTGGCCCATAACACTGATAAGAAATTACACTTCATCTCTGAAGAGAAAATATAGTCAAATGTTTACCCTCCTCTAGCTTGCCTCATTATGATATATTTCTTGTCTTTTGATATATTAAAAGTTACTTTGTTCACTGCTATTTGTATTTAAATACTATTTATAATTCTAAGGTGGAAGCCATTTTTAAATCTAAATTGGAAGATGTTTTATCAGTTATCCCTTGAAGCAGGAATTGTTTATTCATAGTACCCTGCTGGTTCCTGGCACATAGTAGATGCTCGTTTAAATATTTTTAAAATTAACTTATGCATCCAGTAATCATTATCATTAATATATATCATTATGTACAGTACTGTACTTTTGTATGTGTTAATTTTATTCTCACGTGCTTATTATTATAAAACATTACGTGTGGATCTTATACTCAAAGTAGAATCTGAATTAAGTGATTGCTTTTAAATCATACTGCTGGCATAACTAGGAGAAGGATTTAGGTCTCCTGGCTTTAATTTCACCATTTCTACCAGTAGGCTTATTTTTGCCTTAAAAGTATATGTTTTCTGTCCCTGCTTCCTGGCTGTTTCCATGTCTTCAAAGAATATTTGTCAAAACAAAACAAAACGCAAAACACAGATTTGTTTAACATCAACATTTAAAAACAGTTACTAACTTTCCACTATTTATTGCATACTAGCCTTGACCCTCAGAAATCCAAAAATAGGCTCTCAAACATTTCGGTGACAGAGCTTGGCCGGTGGGAGATCTGGCTCCCCTAAAGGCAAGTTCCCTTATTTCATGTCTGCAAACTGCAGAGCGGGTGCAGCCCCCACATGGCCATTGTTCGGGGGCCGGAACTCCGTAGCCACGGGGATGCTGCCTCCGTGTTCTCCAGGCGCCTCTGCGTGGGAAGGCTGCGTCACAAAGCCAGCTGTGCTGGGCCACCCCCGCCCCTGGAGCTGCCTCCGGCCACCGCTGCACTCCGTCCCCTTGGTTTGTCTAGAGCCTGAGCCAGCTGGCCATGCCAGGGCTTACCCGCCCCCGTTAGGGTCCTGGGCCTGGCCCCAGCTGGGTACAGGAGTCAGCAGGCCTGCAGGTGCTCTAAGGTAGGGAAAGGGGCAGGCGAGGTGGCTTGAAAGAGAAGCCCTGGCTGAAGCTCAGCTCCATGCATTGCCTAATGTCACGCACGATCTGTTTTCCCAGGAAAGAGAAGAGACTTTTCTCCTGGCCGAGATAAAAGATACACGAGCCACTCGGGAAATGTGGGCAGCCCGGCAGAGTCAAGTTCCTGAGCAGGAAGATAAGATGGAGAAAGAAACCCAGTAAGAAGGGCACGGCCGGAGGGGGGAAGGACCTGAGTTTTAGAGGACAGTGATGGAGCGCTTGACCTCTTGTTTAGAAACATCTAATGAAATAGTTAGAACTGGAATTGATTCCACACATTTTCTAAAATTAACCTACAACTATTTCCCAGCCACTGTTTGATAAGGTTCAATCCTTGAGGAATATAAAAATGCACCTGGACAGGTCTCCATCGTATCAGACCAAAGCTCGTATCTCACATGTGAAGATAACTGGCAGAGAATTTCCCTAGAACCATGTTACTGACCTGGGGACGAAGAATTACTAAAGAATTTCGGTTTAGGAAATGTCTGTAAGGATGCTAAATAAAAACTACAACTCCCTATTTTTACTACTAATGTTAACCACTCTATCAATTAAAGCATTAGCATTGGTTTTCCAATGTTTTCTAAAAAAAAAAAAAAAAAAGAAAAGACCTATTGTATTAAATATACACAATTTAAAGCTAATGTTATATTGGACCCAAATGTCCTGTTTTATTCAGTTCAAGTTCATTTTTAAATATTTTATTAAAATATTTTAAATCTGAGAATGATTGTTGTCAGGATTACCAGTACAATATCTCCCAAAATAACATTGAAATGCTGGGATTGAACTTTTATAACTTCCTCTGGTTGAGTGCTAATCAATTTCAGAGGGAACAAAATACCAAGAAGGGCTTGGAAAATTCCATGTGCTAAGCAGTAGGGAAAGCTAACTAAGCACTAGGACAGACCTCTCATCTTCCAAGAAGAGCCTAGGAGATCTGTGAGTGCAGGTTTTCAGACAATGGGCTGCGTCACGCACTTGTCTGCCTGAAATGTTTCAGCTCTTCCCGAGGTGTGTGCAGCTGTTAGAAGTTCTTATTCAAATGTAAAAATAGGAACACCCTGTGGTCCTAGGCCAGATTTCTTTGATTGCAACATTTTCCAAGGCTTATTGGGAATCTTTTGTCGAATTAAATTTATTTGGGAATGCTATTGTTTTACTGGAGAGAAAAAAAATTCAGAGCCTGTAAGATGAACATGCTGAAAGATATAGCCAGTTTGTCCATAATGAAACCCAGATGTAAAGAACTTTGAAAGAGAAAAGTACTTTTCCTGTTTATGCTAGCCAGTGTGAAGGAGAAATCACGTCATAGGAGCCTGTCTTGGGTTGGACAGAGATGGAATATTTGTAATTTGAAAATCGATCTCTATAGTCTCCATCCTACCACCACCACAGTCATACTCGAGTGTATCTTCAGGGTGTGAGCTTTTCAGACAAAAATGAGTGCTTCAGGTGTCAGCAGAATGGCAGCGCTCAAGCCTAGTAAGTGCTGGGCTGGTAATAATTTTCAAAGCCAATGCCATTCAGTTATAAAATATAATTTGCCTGAGATGTCTATGCCTTCTGAGAGGTACATTTAGAGAAGTCTGGTTTTGACTAAAAACTCTCCAGATTAATATTTCTGATGAAAGAACTTACAAATTATAAAACCAAAGGACCATGAATACCTCTTGGTAAACAGAGAGACTGAGACAGACATCAGCAAGATGGCAGATTAGGAAATTCCTGGCCCTTGTTCCCTTATGGAAACATTAAAAAAAAAACAAAAAAAAAACTACAGCAGATAACTGGCTAAAGTAACTTTCTAGGAACTCTGGGAAAGCAAAGAGATCAAAATTGAGACAATCCACAGAGGTTAAATACTTAGTTCCTAAATTACAGTGGATGTGTGACCCCTAGAAAGGTAATGCTTAAGCTGGCTGGTCATTTATCCAGTGTTTCAGAAAGCGAAAAGGTTTTGGACCCCAGAACTTTGTTCACACTCAAGCATTAAACACACACACACACATACACGGATTGCTTTTAGTTTATTGAGTCTCAGTGTGACGCATATAATGGGGTTGTCATAAACCTTTTCATAAGTCAGGCCATGAGAATACCGTTTTACTTGTAAAATAATTGCACTGTAGTGTAAGGACTTTTAAAAAATGTTTTTGCATTATTTCACAAATGCTTTTATATTTATGAACAAGAAAGGAAAATCTTTGTTCATAGTAACGTCTACTTATAAAAATAGTACCTGGTTAAGAGATTAACCAATGAATTTATATGTATATATGCATAGCCCAAGGACAGACATTAGTGCGGGATAGGCCTGGGGAGGGGGCAGGAGTGGAGCAGAGGGGTCAGTGGTGGAGGGAAAGGTATTACTTTCAACAATAAAGATAAATTTTTAAAATATAGTATCTGGAAATTAAATCTTTCTTTTCCTGCTATTCCCTTCAACATTCACACAGACTTTCACACGTGCGCGCGCGCACACACACACAAGTACACACACATATACATATGTGTGCTGTATTTATAGGTATTAATTTGCAGAGTGTATTTGAAAGTAGACATTAACTCTAGAATCTTTATAAATATAGGAAAATTAATTCAGCAGCAGAAATCATAGGAAAAAGTATAGGAAATAATATATTAAACAAGAATTATAATATTTTTATGTTAGTAGAAAGGGGAAATAGGATATAATGAGTGATAAATGTAGGCTATAAATGGTTAATAGAGTCTCAATTTTGTGTAAAAAATGCATTAAAAAGCCTGGGAAACTGGTACAATTCTTGCTTGATTTTTATTTTCTTTCTACTTTTACATTTTTTCAAAACCATCTATAGTGGGAATTTATCCATTTTTAAATAGAAAAAAAGCATGTCTTAACTTGATACTGAAGTGTTCTATTTAGATTGTCAAAACTAGAAATATAAGATGTTCTTGTGCTTATATGAGATGCATAATACCTTTGAAAAGCAGAACTCTGGGTAATAATGATAGTTCATGCTTCTTGTGTTCATAGTCTATTCATTTTTACTTTCTCACTTTGTTTTTTTATACTAATTTTTGTACACAGAAGAGAAGATATATATTCTGATCTCTCAAGGATACAGCAATCTTTAGTACATTTTTTTTCAATTTTTTCAAAGTCAGATAGCACAATACTGCCATTGTCACTGTCATCATCCAATGAAATTCCTCTCAGTTGCTATCTGTCTAGTCTTCAGACTAGTGGAGTAACTATATCAACAATTGCACCAAAGTCTTCTAAATCAACTTCAGTGAGCCATTTCCAATCAGAAAGCAGCATGGGTAAGCAAAACATGTACCGATTTTTTGGATTATTTTTAAATTATATAATTCGATAAATTTTCTGTGTGTCTAGAAACCAGAATGATGTTTTATTATTTGTGTTCAATACTGCTAATTTCTTAACGTCATATGCAGAGTAACTTGACTATACTCACTATTGATCCTAACCCTGGAGTCATTTTCTGGTCACGTAAATGTATGTGGCCAAGTATGTCACCCCCATGATTAAAATATCTTGAGTTATCATAATGGTTCATGGGTTGACAGCTTAGATGTTCTAGAATTGCTAGATAATTAAAAAATTCTAATGTATAACATTAACTGCCCTTCCTCTTAATGCGACCAGAAAGATTAAGCAATGTCTTGTGTACTTTGTGCCTTCAGAAGATTTAGGACTTTGATGAGGAAAAGACAGAGAGATAAGAGAAAGAAGAAAAATAAAGAAGGTAAAAGGGTAGAGAGAAAAGGGAGAAACAATAAAGAATTTGAAGGAGAGGAAAATAAACACAGGACTATGGTTGGAAGAAGTAAAATGTTAACAGTTGCCAACAATGCGCTCAGCAATACCCACACTACGGGGCGTCTGTTCCTCACCGTGTGCAGGGGACGTCGAGGGTATGTTATCATAGTTTCCTGGAAAGACACCGTCTATGGAAACAGAAGACTGTGGTCCCAGCCATCTTTCGACTCCCTATTGTGTGAGACATTAGGTAAGGTATGCAGCATCTTGGAGTCCCATTTCCCACAGCTGCAAAATGGGGATTAAGACATCAACTTCACAGGGCTATCCTAAGGATTATTAAAGGAGATAGGAGATATTTATGAAAATCAGCTAGCGCACTCAATAAAAATTAGCTGTGAATCTGGACCTATCTCTCAGCACCATCTCATAGATAAGGCTAGATTGGGGTCTGCATTTCAATCACCAAACAACCAACAAGTTTCAAAACTGGCAGCACAAACACACTCATGACATCCTGGTGCCCCCACTTTCCTCTGCCATTCTGTGCACACTTGCAGCCCGGCTGCTCCTTACCTATACTGGGTTTTGTTTCTGGTGTTCGCCCAAGCCTTTGACACAGTGGTATCTAGGATTTTGGCCTACTGCCATTATTGTCATATTCCCCGTGTTTCACTGTTTGCACGCCTAAGATATATTTTTCAAAGAAACCTCCTAAATTCACACTGACCTTTAGCAATGACCGAATCCGTATACTTAAAAGTGAAAATACAGATTTCAGATCGTGGGAGGGAATATTTTCTGTCCTTTAGCACTGTATCATCATGGCATATGTTCTATATTTGGGTCAAAGTATGAAAGTTCCCAGGATTAGTAGGAAAAAATATACAGCAGCGTCCCCTGGCAGGATGAGCTGAGCTAGGATGCAGTCTTTGCCCGCAGTTACCGTAGATTCTGCTTCTGTAGATAGATGTCTGGGTTTGCTGCAACTTGTTGCATTTGGTTCATTTCCATCCATCTGTTCCTCTAGACGAAATAATGACTGTGACTAGAATGAATGTCTTCTTTCCTTTCAGAATGCAAAGGTTTCTATCCCTCAGGATGAGCTATTCAAAGAACTGCGGCCTATTCTCTATTCCTAAATTAATTAAAGGATTAAGTAAATACTCACCTGACTAAGAATAAACTAATTTAATTCCAAACCTTTCTTCTGAACAAAATACTTTGAGGAATCCTCTTTAGGAACTATGAGTTTAATCCTCTCCAGCTTTCACCTCACTTTGGTTTTGTTAAAGATACACAAATATAAAGCAAACTCTAGATTGTGCTAATCCTTTGATGATTTTGGACCCAGGGGTCACAATAATAACTATCATTTATTGAGTACCTGCTAAATACCAGACACTGCTAGACACTTATCTACATTGCCTTCAGTCCTCACATCACCTTAACAAGGTAGTATATTTTTATTTTATGCTCAGGAAAACCGAGAATTGGAAGTTTAAATCAGCTGGCTTAGTAAGTGACAGAGCAGGGATACAATTGCTGGTCTGCCCAAATCCAAGGCATATTGCCGTATCCACTTCGTCACGATGCCCCTCTGAAGTGTTCCTTTCTCTTTGCAATTACGTCATTAGATTTACTCAGCATGGTTCTTTCTATGTAAAATCATGAAACCTATTTTGTGTGAATCTCAACAGTGAGAGAATTTTAAAGAAGCTAGCTTATTTCTAAGAGGATACTAGAGCCTGATTAAGCATTACTTTATCTTTCTAATAAAGTATTTCAGTTGATGAGAGGAAACTTACATCTTTATCTAGCAAAATAGTAAACATTGTTAGGAAAGGACTCACTTGAAGGTTTAATTTATGGGTATCAATTTGGAGAGCATAGCTAATATAAAATAGAATAAAGTTATACTTATGTACAGCATATCCAAATTTGAGAGACTCAAATGTTTTACCTACTCAAAAACTTATGATGCTTCTAGTACAAATAAATGATCAGTTAAATAGTCATTATGTTGATGATATAATTGATAGTTTAAGATAATCTCTAGGAACTGAGTGTCACCAAAAATAATCACTTACTGGTCATTTTGTAGACTTTGGTTTAAAGCTTTTAATTATCTTCATTTAGTTTGACAGTGACAGTAAAATGTATAAAGAATATAGTTTTGTAGAAGCAAAGAATAAAGATAGTGGCTTTGAGTTCTTTTAATATCCTTTTATTTTTTTCTCTCTTTGCTGCTTCTCTCTTTGTTTGGAAAAAGCCACCGGTGTCACAGTTGCAAAGAAAAAGACTCTGTCGTCCCTTGGTTCTGAGCCAGCCATGATTGGGGAAGGAGAGGATTATTTCCTATCTTTATTTGGTGATTCAAAGAAACCTGTTACACACTCATTTCAGACCAAGAAAAATTGGAAGCACTTTTCTATGATTCTTGAAGAAGTAGGCCAATTTAGATCCAGGTACATATTCTAATTATTTAACACCTTCTATTGCTATAGGATCCATAAGTCAGTAGGAGCCAAAATTTTAATCTATTGTGCTGTTCATGATTAAATCTAAGAAATTAGACAAAATATAACTGTTTCATGTTCTGAGCAATTAAAAGGAATCAATATAACTCTCAAAGTAACCAAATAACTCTTCAAAGATGCCAGAGAAAACAGCACTACATAATCCCTACAAATAAAGTCAACTCAATTTTTCAAGAACCGGTCTTTATTATTGGCCAGTCATTCAGATGGACTTAGTATCTTTTTTTCTTCTACTAGGACCTTGAGTTTAATACAGAAGAAGAAAGGTAGACATTTTAAATTGAATTTATTGGGGTGACATTGGTTAATAAAATTATATAGGTTTCAGGTGTACAATTCTATAATATATCTGTATGTTATATTGTATGTTCACCACCCCAAGTCAAGTCTCCTTCCATCAGTGTTTATCTCCCCTCTACCCTCTTCAACCTCTCCCCACACCCCCTTTCCTCTTATAATCACTATACATTGTCTGTGTCTATGACCGTGTGGTTTTTTGGGGTTTTTTCGCTTAATCCCTTCACCTTTTTCACCCAGCCCACAAGCCCCTTTCTTTGACAGCTGTCAGCCTGTTCCCTGTATCTATGAGTGTGTTTCTATGTTGTTGATTGGTTTATTTTGCAACAACAACAAAAACGATCCAATTAAGAAATGGGCAAAGGATTTGAACAGACACTTCTCCAAAGAGGACATATAGATGTCCAGTAGACATATGAAAGATGCTCAACATCACTAATCATCAGAGAAATACAAATTACAACCTCAATGAGACATCACTTTCACACCTATCTGAATGGCTGTCATCAATAAATCAACAGGCAACAAGTGTTGGAGAGGGTGTGGAGGAAAGGAAACCTCGTGCCCTGGTGGTGGGAACGCAGACTGGCGCGGCCACTGTGGAAAGCTGTACGAAGTTACTTAAAAAAGTTACAAATGGAACTGCTTCATGACCCAGCGATTCCACTTCAGGGTACATATTCAAAGGAACAAAACCCGCTAATTTGAAAGAATACATGCACCCTTATGTTCATCGCAGCGTTACTTACAGTAGCCAAGATACGGAAGCAGCCCAAATGTCCATTAGTAGATGAGTGGATAAAAAAAGCTGTAGTACATATATGTACAACAAACAAAAACCATTTAATTGTACCATATGTAGAATCTAAAGAGCAAAATAAACGAACAAAATGGAAACAATGACTCATAGATAAGAGATCAGACTGATGGTTGCCAGAGGAGAGGGCCTAGGGGGCTGGGTGAAAAAAGTGAAGAAATTAGGAAGTACAAATTGGTAGTTCCAAAATAGTCATGGGGACGTAAAGTACAGCATAGGGAATATAGTCAATAATATTGTAATAACTGTGCATGGTGCCAGGTGGGTACCAGAAATATCAGGGGTACCACTTTGTAAAGTACATGATTGTCTAACCACTATGCTGTGCTCCTGAAACTAACACAAAATAATAATTGAATGTAAACTGTAATTGAAAAAATTGTAGATATAGATATAATCTTTAAAAAGTGCCTGGAACATAGTAAATATTGGTTATTATAATTGGTAGGGGTATATTTCATTTTTAAAATGATGCCTCTAACCCACCAAAGGGATTGTGACCCACACTCTGAAAATTGCTACTATACAAATGTTTAGCTTGGTCCCTGGCAAATAATAAGCTCTTATCACGTTAGTGGGGGAAAATACCATCTTATCTTTGTGTAATGTTTTGTTTGCTGAATTCTTTTAAGTACATAGTTGCTAGTTATCTTCATAGTAACTTCATTAGAAATATAATTTAGCTTTCCTCTTGATCTATTTCAGTTTCATATCTCAGTGGTTTTATGAACAGTAGGATTTAAATAACAATAATCACACCTCCCTATGGCATTTATACCTTGACACCTAAAGCACTTTTTAAGTTTTCTTTAATTATTTTATGTGAAATAGATGATTTTATTGCCCAACAAACAGAACTAAGAAATCAAAGCATTTGCCTGAGACTACAAAATACACTGTCTTCACATAGAATTTGTCTAATAAAGCGGACAGTTCATGAACAACTTCCAAAGCATATTTATTATTCAGTTCTTAACGTGAACCAAAGACATGCTAATCTGAACGCACCTTCCAATCTTTGTATTTTTCTAGTGCTTTTGGAGACATCAAAATAGCTGAAGTGAAGGGTTTATTTGTGAAGCTCATTAACTCTTCCCTTGATAAAGAACTGGAGATTGGAAATTATATTCTCCAGCAAAATGTGAATGGACAAAGAGTCTCTCTGTTCCGATTCCCTCCGAATGTCACAATGCAGGCCAGTTCCACAGTAACGGTAAGTACAAGATACCAAGACTATGAACTGAAATTGTGCAGGAAAATCTCACCTGCCCAGGTCAGACTGCGGCTCAGCACCGGCGGTTTCTTGGTCGCTTGATCTTTACGTAAAATGTGACATTTTGTTGGTGGCGGCTAATTGAGCCGCGTTGTCCATCTCTGCGTGTAAGCGAATTCCCATAATTAAATTTCTATAGCTTTCTTCAATTTGTTGTATAATACCTTCTGTTTTCACAACTCAACTATTAAAATGAAATGCCTAAGTTCCTAAAATTAAGCCAACATAATCCATAAAAGGAAAGTAAAGAGGTTGTTTGCCTAGAGAACAGATGATTAGTTGATACTGGAGTTTTTCCTCTTTACTGTGCTTTCCTTTCAACCACATACCGTCTTACACAGCTTGACATTATATATTATACAGTCATTATATTTTAAAACCTCATATGTTGAGAAAGATAACATTGCAATCACCCTCTGACGTTTGCAGAACTGTTGAACTCCAGTGACACTTTTAATGAACAAACTGCTTTCTTGCAGGTCTGGGCAGCAGCCTCTGAAGCAAAGCACCAGCCACCAACAGATTTTCTTTGGAAGGAAAACAAGTTCAGAACAAGCCCAGTTTGTACAACAATCCTGTGCACACCTAACGGTGAGGTCAGTATCTGGTTCCTAACAATAGTTTTAAATGGATAGTCTCCTTCTGTTCTCCTTCTACCCTGAGCTCGCTCAATTCTTTTTCCGACCCTAAAACCTCGCATAGAACCGTCCCCGACTGTCATAGCCACTCAGCAAATCAACAGCACCCTCTTCCCAGTGCAAAGTGCCAAAGAGCTGCTTACAATTTGGCCAAAACGTTTTTGATATCCCAGATACGAAGCTGCTTCAAATGTCAGCACGAAGGATGGATTTTATTTATGGTGTTTAAGCCAGAAGAGCAGGACGAGAAAGGAATAGACTCTGCGCAGGCCCTTTCTATTCACTTATGTATTTTTCAAATGTTTGTTGAGGTTCCTCTCTGTGCTAAAGGTTGTCGTAAGTGTCAGGAATATAATGTAGAGTACCACAGGATATCTGCTCTCGAGAACTAATATTCTAGCCCTCGCCTGTTTGGCTCAGTGGTTAGGTCATTGGCCCTTGGACTTAAGGGTCCCAGGTTCAATTCAGGCCAAGGGCACGTACCTCAGTTGCAGGCAACCAATCGATCTCTCGCTCTCTCTCTCTTTCCTTTCCACTCTCTCTGAAAAGCAATGGAAAAAAATATCTTTGGGTAAGGATTGAAAAAAACAATCAAACTAATATTCTAATGAAAGAAACTACACTCTAATTTGTCTGATGATACTATATTCACTATAAAATTATGTGTATCAGTAATTAATTCTCAATATTTGAGAACTTTAGATTTCCACTCTAGCTTTTCCTTGGTATAATATTAGCAGAAGTACATAGCCAAAGACACACGCAGTAAAGTCAGTTATCTTTTTTGACAACAAAAAAGTAACAAAAGTAGTTACAGCAAAACTATTCTTTAGATATTTCTTAAATACCTGTCTTTTCTTCTTAGCCCCCATCGAACTTACTACACCATTTAACAACTAATCCACACAACAGGCTGATCAAAGTCTACTTCTGAGTTTCTTCTTGTTAAGTTATACCTGATGATATAGACTTGCTAATTTATTATGAGCCACTTAATGTCTTTCTGAGGAAACAAGCAGTTGCTAGATGGAGAAAACACTCATTAGTAATTTTGCAGCCTTCACTCACTTAAGCTTTAGGTATTTTTGTGGGCTCAAACTGAATTTCATAATACTTCCAATAATTTTTACTGATAGTGAAAATAAAGCTATACAATCTAACTTACTCAGTCCCATCAGAAATTATTAGCAAAACTCAGATTAGGAATAAAGCCTTCTTGTTTCAGACCTTTTATCACATTACTCTACCCATTTATCTGCTCTGCAAACAACTCTGGAGTCTCTACCTTGCAGGCACACTGTTCCAGGCACTGAGTGTTGAACCAGACAGACCAGGTCCCTGAGCTCCTAAAGTACACATTTTGTTTGGCAAATTGTCACTTTGTGCAACTGAATTAGACTTCGAATTTAGACTAGCCCTTTTACTGAGTGGTTTAAGCTACTTTGCTCACATAGACTCAGACCATTTCTGCAGGGTGAAGTAAATACAATTTTATTTTATTTTTTTTGCCAGTGAAAGGGTGAATCTGATTGACTGACTCATACAGGAAATATTTGCATATATTTAGAATCTGCCAAGCATTGTGCTAGATGCTGGGGGAAAAGGAGCATAACTATTGTGTAACTATTTCTGTCCTCAGAAAAATCATAGTCTGGTAGTAGAAATTTATATGGAGCAATAAATAATTGCAGTACAGTGAAACAATACTTTAAGAGAAGTATGCGCACAGAGCGCAATAGCCACGTTAAAGGAAGAACTCTGTAAAGGGAAGCATGAAGAAAAGCATTAGAGGGCAAAGGAGCACTTGTTCTGAGTCTGCAGGAGAGAGGGATTTCACCCAGTTGACCTGAACCAAGTGGTCTTGTTCCTTTCCTCCCCCCAGCTCACCCTTCCCCATGCTTTTCCATGCTCTCTTCTCAAACCACACTGGCTGCCTTTTACTTTTTTTACTTCATTGCTCCCTCAAGCTACAGGGCGTTTGCACATGCTCTTGCCTCTCCATGGACTCTTTTCTCCCCTTTTTACCTATTAAATCGCACCCATCCTCAGACCTCAGCTCAAGCCTTTTTTTTTTTTTTCAAATTGAGGTCCTATTGGAATCCCACTCAATGATAAAGCAGTCAGCATTACTTAATTAAATAGAAAATATTTCCATTAAGTACAGAATTGTGACTTTACCCCAGCCTAAAACCCTAATGTAAGCATAGAGTTCTCCCTCACCCCTCTTTTTAACAGCACATTTATTTCTCTTCTCACTTCAGTGATGCGGACCTCACTACCTGCAACCGTGAGACAGATTTTCCTCACAAAGATGGGTTGCTCCATTCCCATAGACAAGCTAAAACACAGGAAAGCCTGAGGCTTTTATCATGACTCTGGAATTGTTTTCTATTTATAACAAAAATAACCCACATCTTGTAGACAAAGTTACAGAACTTGCAATCTTCTGCCTAAAGAAATCGCCAGTCATACAAATTAGAATAGGTTCTGTTGCTGGACTTGAGCAAAAAAGTTATATTATTGGTCATGGATCATTAAAAGAAAACGAAACCTAAAATAAAGTATGACAGACATCACTGATATGCTATAAATCACGTGGTGTAATATAAAGGTAGATTTAGTCCTGCTCTGCCATGAGTTAACTATGAAATTTTTATTCTGTTTTCTAACATATAACACAAGGGCTTTACAACATCATCACCAAGATTCTATGAGTCTATAGATTTTTAAACAGGGCTAGATTTTTTTCCCCACCAGTTACATTGCTGTCCTCCAGGATTTGTAGCCTCTACATTACATGTCAAAAAAATTAATAAGCATTTTATATTTAGTCGATGCCTGGAACCTTTTCAATACATTATTTTGCACTAAAGATTCAGGTATAGGACTGCCTGCTGCCATGCTGTAGGAGCTCACTGAAGGGCTGTTTCTATGTGCATTATCTCATTTGGTTCTCAGATTATTTAAGCATTTACAAAAGAGGAAAATGGGGCTTGGAAAGTTAAATGGCTTGCTCAAGGTCACGTGATTGGTAAAATGGCAGAACTAAAATAAAACCAGACATTCTGACTCTGAGAATTTTTCTATTGTACTAAAAATAGCCTACAAGGTTCATATGGCCAATATTCCAGAGGTGTAATGAGAAACATATTTTATTTTATCACATTATCATTGTCATTGTCATCTAATATTTTAAGTCCCTATAATATAGGGAGAAATAAAATATTGCCCTTGTCTAGGAAAGTCTTTCAATCTAATTGAGGGAGATTGCACTAAAAAAAAATAATAAAAAATCATAACATGTCTTCAACACAAATGTGTCTGTTTGAGCTGCTAAAATTGAAGAATCCCTAACTGATGACCTGAAGCAAAAATGGAGTTTTCCTGTTGTGGTCCATGAAATTGAACTTTTTAGAAAAGATTTCACTCTTGTCTTTCTCTGTTGAACTTGCCTGGCATTGCCTTTATGTCTAGTTAATTTGCCTTTATGTCCAGTTAATTGTTTGTCAATCCAATCAGAGCAACTCAATGAATCCAATCAGTTTTTCAACTGTAACAGCATTAGCCCAAAACTTCTAATTTTATGATCTAAAAACAGATCACAAGAACAAGGAGAATATTAGGGCACACTTTGGTGCTTAATTTCCTCATGTTGAACAAAGACATAAATGTTAGTCCCTACACATGATTTTCCTGAATAATTTTTGCACATATATGTTGTTCACATGCCACATATTCAAGAAACCAAAACAAAATCCAGCTTTAGTGGTCATGGGTTTCCTTAATAGTCCCACTTAGGATCTAGTCTGGAGAATGGGGTCTCCTTTCCATGTCTCTGGCCTGGTTCTACTGCCCATTTTCCCATCTTAAATAATAGAAAGACTGATACAGAGACAGATAGATATAGATAGTAATGTAGATATTGATATAGAGATAGACACACACATATACACATTTATGCATATATAGTGTCTTAAATATTTAACATTTTTACTATAAATATTATAACTACTTTTCGCACAGTTCTTTATAGTTATGAAACTTAGTAGCTTACTCAGAACACCCTCATATAGCAGTTCCCCACCACCAGCCTCCTTATTTTGTGTCTGAGGACTCAGGTACATAGTAAGTGACTAACCTGCCTGAGGTTATGCAGTTTGTGATTTTCAGTACTGGAAACTAAGACCCGGGTGTCTTACTACATTTTTATGGTGTTTCACTAATCCATACACAATAGGTAAGTGACATTACACATTTTGACTTTAAAATGTTATTGAAATAAGCCCGTGACATTTTTAAAAAATCTAACTCCCACAGTATTTTATATTAATGAATCACTTTTGTAGGCCATAGCCTGGTGCACTCCTGTTCACTGGAAGCAAGCATGGGAGAAATTAGAGACTGACATTGAATTTGAGAGATGCTCCATAGTAAGTCCGCCATCTCAAAGGCACATATTTCACTGGCCAAAAGTTGAAACTACAACTAAAGAAAAATGTAAAGAAACCTCAAAGTTTCAGATGGATTTTCTAGTTCCAGCTTTTCTTAAGAGGTAAAAGTTGCTTGTTTTTTGTTTTTGTTTTTTGTTTTTAACTGAGCCCTTCTCACATTGGTAACTGAGCAGGTGGGAGTGACTGTATGACAAGTAAATATATGACGGATAGGTAAGTCAATTAATGTCCAAAAAATCCTATTTTGAATAGGACTGTAAAACCCATAATAGTTTTAAGACATAAAAACACAGAGCAAGCAAAGATATGCTCGTGGGACGATAAAGGCTGGCCATTTCACTAGGCAATGGAGACACCCGCCTCCACCCTCCCAGCCATTTCACTTCTCAACGGCACTGCTGTCAGAGGCAAGGCTGTGGAGGGTGAAGAGGTGAAGTTATCACCACATCTTTAGCAGTGCTGGGGTTAAAGGGAGAAGGGCAACATCTAGGAATTTTATCTTGGATCAAGAGCTGGCTGTGATTAAAGGTGCAGAATTTGTTATTCATTTATAGGCACATGCTTCTGATGTTGTGATAAAAGTGCTGCCCACGAGATCTAGAAAAGCCATATTGTCTGGTCTTAAGACATGTTCTATCTTTAATTGAGCCTTCATTACAAATGCCACTGCATAAAATGCCTTTTGAGTTCAATTTGGCCTTAATTTTTCTTTTACAGAGAAAAAGAAGTCCCACCAACTCTTTTCCCCAATCGCAGCCCTTGGTGCCACAGTCCCAATGTGCCTCCACATCCCTACTGTCCTCTGATTACACCTCACGATCCCAGCATGTCTGAAAGCAGCTTAGACAGACAGCCCACGCCTCAGTCAGCCAGGCCTGATCCAGCCCTGGTAAGTCAAATGGATACTTATTCCAGCAGAGTAAGGGGTGTGTGTGTGTGTGTGTGTGTAGAACTGGTGAAAAGGGGTTAAGTAGTAAAATACGCTAAGTGTTAAAAACTATATCCTCAAAAACAGTTGGCTCCTAAAGGAAGTATTGTAAGCCGTGCACTTACATTTGCTCTAGCACAGTGTCTTTACTGTTCTTGATAAATATCTGTTGAATGAGTCAGCAAATCAAAAGAACAGCAAAAATGTGTAGTTCTTGAAGTTTGGTCCAAAGCACATTTTGATTTTTATGAGGCAGGATAAGCTGGTCCTACAAGTTATGCTATGCTAAAAAATTCATCTTTTCCAAACACTCTAATATTAATCCCAAATCTCATCTTTTTCTTCGACCAGACATTTCTTACTTAAGTTCTCTCAATAAAGCTTTTAGAGTTGATGTTATTAACCCAGAATCTGTGAATGGATTTCAAGAAGTCCATGAATCTGCTAAATTTGGTGCAAAAATCTGTGCCTGTATCATGTTTTCTGGGGGGAGAGTCCATGAGGCTCATTGGGCGCCTCCAAATGTTTAAGACCTGATGAGAAGAACACAGTGCCGGACCCTAAGCTGTGGAGAAGGGCTGCTTCTATACAATAGCCATGTCCTGGTGAAGTTATAGTGATTTGCAAACTTTTATTTAGCAGAGGGATGCGTTTTGAAATGAAATCTTGAGCGGAGTCCCAAGTCCCAATGTATGGAATGGATTAGAGCAGACCTGCCCCAGTGGAGGAGCAGGCGGTGGTTCCCATCATACCCACTTCTCCCCCCTTCCCTGTGATCCTTGAGCGCCTTCCTGGAATCATAGGATTCTGTATACGCCTGTATGAAAACCACAGTTAGTATGTTAACACGTCATTGGGAAATAGCACCCCAAAACAATACCTTTCAGAAGTGGAATGATGGAAATTTTGTAAATTTCTAAATACATTCCATTTCATAAAACTAAGTATCCTATATTGTTGTGCCTGAGTTTCTTCATCTGTAAAGTAAGAGATTTGAGTGTGAAATTGAAAAAGCTCTTTCAGCAATAAGTGTTATATACATATTAGATACATAAATAGCATGTATTATTTTATACACAAATACATAGCTTTAGTATATCACTTAGATTTGAGACTCTCAAGAAGTACATTAATTTATGTTTTTCTCCAATTAATGATAGCCTTTACTATTTTATTCATTCTGGACAACTTGTTTTCCAAAGAAATTTGACTTCAAAATTTCTTTTCTTTTAAAAAATTTTAATTACATTTTACAGTCAATATTATTTTGTATTCAAATTTTCTTGATTCACCTTTCCATAGTGGTGGCAACTCACCTTGATTACTAAATAACTTTTGCTATTCAACACAGGACATCTTATTGTATGTTTATATCCTACAATAGTAATCCAAAAAGATGGTTGCTTTGATACTTTCAGGACCTCTCTGTTCATCATTATATACTTTTAAAATTTTTTATTTATTAAATTTTTAATATGAATAGATGTACATTGGAAGTATAAGAACTTTTCTTTGATTTCAACTGTGAAAGATGGCCACAGAGAGGCAGATGTTATGAATAATTAGTTGGTGAGTCACTGGGTTACAGCAATCCCCAAATCATTAGTTCATTTCCTTGAAAGAATATGTAACAAGATCCTTCAAAGGAAAGTTATCTAGTTTGTTAATTATCCAGTCTCTCTCTCTCTCTCTCTCTCTCTTTAATGTATCTTTATTGATTTCAAAGAGAAGAGGGAGAGGAAGAGAGAAAGATAGAAATATCAATGATGAGAGTCATCATTGATCGGCTGCCTCCTGCAGGCCCCAAACTGGAGGTCGAGCCCGCAACCCGGGCATGTGCCGGGACCAGGAATCAAACTTGGATCTCCTGGATCCTAGGTCAATGCTCACCCACTGAGCCACACCCGGCCAGGCTCCAGTCTCTTTTTAATTTGCCTACCATTGGACTATTTGCTATTATTAGCACACTTCTCAATAATTGACAAAGGTTCTTCAGTCCTGCTCCTTTCCCTCTACACTAATAAATGGGCTAGTTTGCTGAGTTACAGAAGAAAGAATCTTCATTGCATGTGACTAAGGGAATAGTTGCCTTGTGTTTAAGTGTTCTTCTCGAGTATGTTATATATGTTATAGAGAAACCTAGAGACTTCACAGTGAAGATAGTTTTAAAGAAACAACTACACATCATATGCCTAATTTTTACCAAGCAAACTTATGTTTTTAAACATGTTAAAATACAGAAAGCATAGAGAAGTCTGATATGAAATTGGAATAAGTCATTCTGGCCCTCATTTTTATATTTTAATTCTCTATATATGGATCAATGAAATACATATATTATCATTGATGTGTTTTTAATCACATAAGTGACAATAAATACAGTGCATGACCACAATAGTTGTTTAACATAGGTGTGATGAAGGACAGGCAGAAAAGGAGACACTGAAGGTTTTTAATTAGGCATCTCACAGAGTTAGGTCTGTACTTTAAAGAGAATTTTGGGAGCAGTTGAAAATGAAGTGGAGTGGGAAATATTCCAAAATCTAGAAGGAAAGAAAGAAGGAGGAGAAAAATAGGTGAGGAAAGAAGGGGAAGACCAAAGCAGGTTAGGAAAAGAGAATGGGGACAAGTTGGCTCTATAGAATTGTGATTTGAGTCCCAAAGGACAGGGGGGAAGAGAGATTGGGGCAGAAGTAATATTTAAAGAAATAATGACAAAAATTCTCAAAAATTGATGAAAGACATCATCATAGAATCAAGAAGAATCTCAGACAGCATATTTAAAGGAAACCATACTAAGTATATTATAACAAAACTTCAGAAAACAAAACCATGGAAGTCAGAAGACAATGGAATGATATCTTCAATGTGCTAATGTGCTAAGAGGACTACTATCCTAGAGTTCTGGACCAAGCAAAATACACTTCAAAAAGTGAAGATGAAATAAAGACTCTTTCAGGCAAACAACATTAAGAGAATTCATCAACAGTAAAGTCACACTAAGGAAATATTTCAAGTAGAAAAAAAATGATCCTAGAAGGATGCATAAACATATTAGGAGAAGTGAAAAAAAAAAATGCAGTCAAAGCATGGATAAACATAAATGAATATTTACTATACAAAATAATACTAATATTCTCTTGCAGGGTTTAAAATTTATATATAATTTAAATTCGTGACAATCGTCTTAGTTTCCCAGGGTTACTGTGACAAAGTATCACAAACTTGGTGGCTTAAAACAACATAAATCTATTCTCTCACAGTTCTGGAGACTAGAAGTCTGAAATCAAACTGTCAGCAGGGCCGCCCTCTCTCTGAAAACTCAGTCTAGGGGATTACCCATCCTTTCTTGCGTCTTCCCAGTTTCTGGTTGTTGCTGGCATTCCTTGGTGTTCCTTGGTTTGTAGATGCATCGCTGTACCCTCTACCTCCATTCTTGCATGGCCTTCTCTCCTGTGTATGTGCCATATTCCCCTCTTTTGATAAAGACCCCAGTCACTGGATCAGGGCCCACCCTAATTTAGTATGATCTCATCCTAACTTGATTACATCTGTGAAGACACGATTTCCAAATAAGGCCACATTCACTGGTTCAAGGGGTTAGGACTTCAAAATATATTTGGGGTGGACACAGTTTAACCCATAACAATAGTAATAGCACAAAAGTTTGGCAGGGGAGTAAATGGAGTTAAAGTACTCTAAATTTCACGACTTTTCCAGTAAGTTGTAAAGGTAACAATTTCTATTAGATTTTAGTAAATCAAGGATATGCATGTTGGAATCTAGGATAGACATTAAAAGAATAGTATCTGATTGTCACGTTCATGATATGTATCATACTTTCATTATCATTCAGTACAAAATATGTTCTAATTTCCAATATGATCCTCTTTGATACATGGGTTGTTTAGTGATAATATATCACAAAAAATGGGTTTATTTCAGGAATGCAAAGCTGGTTCAAGCTTTGAAAATTAATCAATTAAACTTATCATCCTAACAAAATAAAAAGGAAAATGATATATAGAGAAAATATAGAAATATAGATAAATATAGAAAAAGGCATTTGATAAAATTTAATACCACCCTGTAAGGAGAGAGCCTTAGAAAATTAGTATTTGAAAGGCTTTCCTTAATCTGACAAATGGTATCTACAAAAATCCTAAAGCAAACTATCATACTTAATGGTGATATAATGAACACTTCCCCCTTGAAATCCAGATCAGGACAACAATCCTCCTCATGATGACTTCTGTTCAACATTGTATTAGAAGTCTGAGTGAAATAAGGCAAGAAAAATGAATATATAAATATCCCATTATCCCATAACCCAGCAATTCCATTCTCAGGAATTACATATGCCTGAAAAATACATACATCTGCACACTAAACACAAATACAATATGATCATAGCAACTGTATTTGTAATAGCCTAAAACTAGAAGCAATCCAATTGTTCATCAACAGTATAATAGATAAATTATGACATATTAATAAAATCCCATCAGCAATGAAAATGCATGAACTACTGCTACATGCAGCAACATCAAAGGATCTCACAGGCATAATATTGAACAGAAGCTGCCAAACAAAAAGGATTGCATATTGTATGTTTCCATTTATGTAAAATTCAAAAATATACAAAACCATGGTGTTAAAGGTCAGAGTAGTAGTTATCTCTGGGAGAAGGAAGGAAGTAGCCCTTGGAGGTTACACAAAAACTGCTTGTAGGATACTAACAGTGTTTCACTTCTTGATCTGAGTGGTGTTAAGTGAATCACTGTTTTCATGGTGCCCTGTGATTATGACTTGTGATCTTTTCTGCACGTATGTTACACTTACATAAATTTTATTTTTAGAAACTTGATGACAAGAAAAGGAAAATTAGAAAGGGAAGCCAGCACAGTTAGAGGAACAAGCACCGACAGCTTATACCCTGAAAAGGAAGGAGAAAGAAAACCTAAAAAAGTCTGAGATCAATAAACTCAGACTGATACGTGGCTTATTTATCGTAGGAGAAAAAAATAGTCTTACTTGAAATAAGTCTAAGCCTATCGTTGTATTGCATTGTTTTGGAAATTCATTTTAATAGGGTTCATCATAGCTCAGTCATTTCCAGGAACCTTTGTGGCAGGGGTGGCTAACTACTGCCCCTCAGT